TGATGTCTCATTTTGTCGAATAGATCCAGGCATATAATGATCTTACTTCGATTTGCCTGCTCTTCTTAGCTTTGTACTTTTTTTTTCCAGTTGGCGTTAAATAAATAAGAAACAAGTTTAAAAAAAAAAAGTATGGGAACATCCAGTATTTACAACTGTTATTAATAACTCTTTCTATAGCTTTGTTATCAAGCCTAAAGTATTGAGATCTTTCAATGTCCACAACTGATCTTGTTGAAAAATCAGTTATTTATGAGAAAAATATAATCCTCTCTAGTATAATTTGAGAACTTGTACATACATTAGTAGAAAATAACTGGTTACAAAGTCGAGCAGAACATTTTTGGCCAATTAGCGTGTATTATTAGATACATGTTGTAAGAGATATTGTCTATTTTTTATTTGATTTTAGATTTACTGGTCAATAGTTGCTCAAAATTTAAATATGAAAAGTTTTTTTCATAAAGTTTCCCATCAGACAAAACAAATATCCGAATATGCCTATTCAATTGGGTGTATTTTCAATGGAGATGATGATGGATGCTTCTTCTTAAATAAAATTTTGACAAGTTTTAATTGTTTCGAGCAAATATACAATACTTCAAAAAGCGAAACATTTTGGAATGATGTCGACTACATCATACAATGCACAACAGAAAGTCTAACTTCGCCAACATGTAAAATAGAATTTGGGAATGATGTTAGTGTATACTTTTTTATTTATAGTAAGATTGAATATTATCTTAGTAGGAGAAAACAAGCGAATAATTTTAATTGGGGGTCTGAAGACAATGTGAAACAATCTAGAACAGAATTTTTCAAAAAATTAGTTTATACATTCACATCAACTAATGGCTTGGAACCAAACCTTAATGCGAATGATGTAAAATTATTGAAATATATGGATATTTCGACATATCTATCATCAGTTAAAACAATCGATAATGAATCAGTGAATCTTTTTTTTGTTTTATGTAAACTATCATTTCAATCATCACCGATTTGTCGTCCAGATCATCTGCAATGGAAAAATATGTTATCTAATCACGTATTTGCAATATCTCTTGAACATTTTGTTTCAAATTACTTACGTTGTAAAGAGGCGTTTCAAAACTTTCTACTGGACATTAAAGGATTTATATATCTTATCGAAAAGATTCTTCCACATAAAAAAAATCAATCATCACTTTTGTCGCGTTATTGTATATTTGTAAATAATCTTAGTTTAAATCAAAATGAATTTTTCGAGCACTTTCGATACATATTCATTGACGGTATTCAACAAAATTGCTACCATTTCGAAGAAGTTGGTAAACTACTATTTGCCATGGGTAAAAACGTTAGTATGTTTAGTACTTACTTATCGTATTATTACGCATATCTTAAAAAACCTAGGAGTGATTTTTGGAACGTTTTCTATTATCTAAGCGAAACATACGAAATAACTGAAAATATTCATCAAGACTTCGTTCGAAAATTAACACTGGATGTACGAACGTTATCCATTAAGGAATTTCTTCAACTCAATCAAGATATTATTGAACATTTGAAAAATGTCAAATCCGAAAATTATACTCGTTTTATGACAATTATTGAAACATTATTCGAGGAATTCACAAAAAACCTACTGAAACGTGAACAACCTTATAATCAATTGTTAGACATTGATTTGAAAGAATTGTTAAAGAACAGTCTTGAATTATCATTAGCACGTACTCTCCAGAAACCTTCTTCTTTGCTCATCATTCGACGGTTGTTATTTCAAAATAACAGTCGTACGCTGAATGTTGTTGATCGAATCTACACTCTGTTTTATAATTTAAAAGATTTTGATCAAGATTTATGTCGAGTAAATGAACCGGCTGATATCATTCACGATGAATGGCTACAAGATTTTCTCTTTGATATTCCTGAAAATTTTTGCACACAGTTGAATCATCATGACTATCGAAATTTATGTAACACTTATGAAGACAATCGTTGGACGAATTTTATTTGGTCTCGAATTATGTATCTGAGCATTTTAAAATCAAAATCTGGAAAATCGAATAATATGCTTTTGAAACTAAATCAATGGATGATTGACGTTAAACATGACACTTTCAACATAAAAGATACACTAACAAATATCATTATTGTTAATCTTTTTGAAATTATTATCAAAGATGTAGAATCTGTGTTAGCACTTCCGAATATTCCATCCATCATTGACTTCATTTTTCGTATAAAAAACGAAGAAATACATGGAATAAATCTTAAAGAAATTAATAATTTCATTCAACGTGGACAAAGTTTCGTCCAAGATATCTTATTACTTAAAGGTCAGTTGAATATGAATATATAGCTATCTTGAAAATCAACTGATGTATGTTGAGAAAATGTAACTTTTCGTGGAAACAGTGCAGCATAAATCTTCATTAGAAACACCCGACTGCATAAGATGATTAGTTTGCATTGGATCAAAATGTTAGAAAAATTATTTTCATTTTTCCCAGCTAAGTAATAACTAATTCATTTTTTCTTTTTATACTGACTCTGTGAAAGTGCAAGACTGTGAAGAGCAAAGCTATCATTCACGACTAGTTTTGGTTTTTCTACCATATTATAAGTCTAGAATAAAATCTTTAAACTTATTACAGTATCGAAAAAGGGAGAGTCAGTATGAAACAAAAATCAGAGAATAGATACCTCAAATGAAAATGATCGGATAACTAAAATAAATCTAGCGGCTTAAGACAGAGCTGTGGAATTATCATTATACGGTATAATGATGACTGACAAGTCAAAGTCTAAAACTCTCGACACTCACCACTTTACAGAATCTCAAAACTTCAGAACGTCAGAATTTTAAGAAGTTTAGCACCTCAGAATCACAGAAGTTCGGAATTCTCACAATTTCAAAACCATTTCAGAATTTTTAACCGAATTTCACGAATTTCAGCATCACAAAATCACAGAATTTTGCAATCTCAGAACTTTGAAATTTCAGAATCCCAAAATTTCAAGAATTCAGAGTATGAGCATTCTCTGAATTCAAAATTTCGGTATAACAGAATCTCAGACTTTTAGAACCCAAAGAAGTCCAGAATCTCAGGACTCATTCAGTTCCAGAAAGAGTAGATATTCAGCAGAGAATATAAGCCACGTGCGTCCTAGAGGGAGGACGGAGGGAAGATGAGTGTGATTCGACACCTGAACGCAAAGTAGAAATTTTTCAGAATTACTCGAAGTTTATACACCTTTGGTGTTAAACGCGTGAAGCTTTGTAAAGTAACATCCCATTGCGTGATCCAATATACTCTTTCGAAATACTACAGGTTTCGACTATAAGATTCTGAAATTCTAAATGTCTAGGAATTGAGAATATTAGTGACAGTGTGAAGTTCTGAAATTCCAGGATTCTGAGATTCTCAAATACTAAATGACTAGAAATTCGCAGTATAGTAACCTTGCGAAATTCTGAAACTCTAAACGTTAGGAATTCAGAGTAATAGTGATAATGTGAAAATTCTGAAAGTTTGCGCTTCTGAAATTATTAGGAACTGACAGTATAGTGATAGACTGAAACTCAGAAACTCTGAGAATCTTAAAGGCCCCCTTCCCCAGATCAGATATGACCATTTTCGTCAAAAATCTTTTTTGCACTTGTATTGCATAAGCGCCACATGTCCGCACGCATGTTCATTAGATCCGCCATGGAGAATAACCTATAGCAAAATATCAACAAACTATTTAACACTCAAAGAACTTTTAAGTAAAACACACTTAACTGAATCAGAATTTATCCTGCTTTTATCTTAAGACTGTTTTTTAGCTTCAGGGCTTCCACCACGTGCAGGAATTCTCGCTAACGATACATCCTAGAAAGAAAAAATTTTTTTGATTTGTAAACAACACCTATAGCTAGGAGTTGACAGAGTCCGATTTTTAAAATATGCTTCTATTTTTTATAGAAATAGAGGATTCCTAAGAAACCTTCCTAGGATTTTTTGGATCTTAAAGTTCTATTAAGCACCAGAAATGAGTAAATGAAAAAATCAAAAAATAAAATGTAAGTGATTAGGATGTGATAGTATAGTGATAATGTAAAATTCTGTAATTTTTGAATGTTTTATATTTTGAAATTCTGTGTAGTATGGCTTGTCGAAAATTTCGAAGTCTGAGTAGAAAGTCATCGTTATACAGGATAGTGATAATTTGACAGCCCTCGATAATTTTAAAGGTAATACAGTTTTGTATTGCAAGGTTACATATTTTGAAGATTATGAATCTTTAATTCAACGCATATCATTTATCTTTTCCGTTTTTAGGCAAACGGTTGGCATATGAACAGCTGCTGACTTCATCAAGCGTCTGTTATTTTCTTCGGTCTATGGATTTGAAAAAAATGTTGACATCATCGATTCATCAATACTGGAGCTTTCCGAAGACCACATTGGCAATCGATTCAATAATGTTCATTACTAGACCGAGAGATATCGAAGTTATCGAAACCGATTCTAATGAAAAATGTTTCAACACTTGCATTGAAAAAGGACGTGAATGGATTCGATGGTTTGATCGATTTATCGATGTATTTGAATATCCTCTCGAATGGTTTAACTGTCATAATGTTGATGGAGCTCGTCAGTTGTTTATTGATTTGAATAGTATTAAAGATAATTCGACAACTACTTTAATTCAAATGGAAACAATCGTTGAAAAAATACTGAAACTTCTCAGACCCTTGAACGATCTTCCACGTCTCTGTCATCTATTTAATTGTTTAACACCATTTCAGATTATAGAACATGGTACAACGGATGGTACATACGACTGGAAAAAATTCATTCTGGATTTAAAACGTTCTGAGCAGAATAATAACTTCACTATTGGAGCAAATGTCAGTGGCGGAAAAGCTTTTTCGATTAGCAGTCGTCAAAACGTTCATTGGTCTATCGCTAGTGAAAAACATGCTTGCAATATCAAAATGGAGTATCAAGTAAACGGTTTGAAAGATAACTGTCATTTATTATTTTCGAAGGAAAATGTGCCTGTCGATAGAAGAATTTTAGGTGGTGAATTTGAAACCCAAAAGTCTGGTCAGTTATTAGTTACCATTGACAATGAATCTGGATATGCGTCACGAACTATATGGTTGCGAATAAAGTCAACTAATTTATCAAGATGTCATCTTTTTGACGGCATATTTAATATAATCCATCAAGCGTACAGCACACAGTCAGTTCGCACAATTAAAGGCGGTCAACTGAATCCATTACTAGACAAAGCATTTTCGTTCATCGACAAACTCCTGACGGGTACTATCAGTCTCAGAGAAATGGTTGATCTTAAAGCCGTCTTCTGTAATAAAAACATCAATGTCGAAGACGAAGTTAGGAGGTTATTTACTAATCGTTCAGACGCTGAACTGCTTAATCAACAAAGAGCAAAGAAATTATCATCTACGAATGCAAATCCACTAAATAATGACATCAAACTAGTATGTGAATGGCTACAAACCTATCAATATTATAGTCATATTAATAATATTATCGATTGTATAGAAACGTTCGATATTCTTACAAAAAATAATAATGATGAATCAATAGATACTCTCAAACGATTATGTGGTAATGAGAATTGTACTCTTCGTGAAATTACACAGGTTCATAAAACCTTACAACAACGACTTAAACATTTATCAGGCTCACACTTACAATTAATCAAAACAATGCTAGAATGTTCAGGTGTTGTGCAGATGATAAAAAAACGTCAATTATATTCAACTGAAGGACAACATCGATTTCAAGAATTACGAGATAATTTAACAACACAATTCCAGTTACAAGAACGCAATAATATGATTCTTAATTCATTAATTATAACTTATGTATTATGCGAACCATTTGCTATGAAAGCAAAAACTTTCGAAGAATTTGTTGATCGTGTAGCTCGACTATCAAATGTGGATGATAATTCTTTGAAACACATAAAAGGTAAATTTTTGGTCAACTTTCGTTCTAAGTCTTTCTTTTACTATTTGTATGGCGTTCTGAACACTTACAATAAGTAGTGAACATTAGATCATAGATGAACTATTGAACAATAAAATGTCTCTATTATCTTTAAAATCAAAACGACATGACTCGGGAGAGACTACTACACTATGCTATTCTCAGTGTTTGTAAGGTATTACTGCATCTTCAAAATTTTTCTAATCAATCTGTGTTTTCAGAGCTTTTCTTATGATTATAGAAATAATGTGTTCATAAAATAGTTAAAAACAGGAAAAACAGCTAGAGTTGATTCGGGTGAATTTAGAATAAAAACGCGAAGCAAATTCCGTTTTCTTAATAACATTTTTATTTTTTAACATTTTTGGAAACTGATTCGACAGATCTCTCTGGCAGATGATGGCCTATCGATCTATCCAAAAACTAAGAGAGACTGTCTCTCTATCCATCGATTTTCTAAAATCACCTTGAATATTCAGGGTGATTTTAGAAAATCGATGGATAGAGAGACAGTCTCTCTTAGTGATCTAGATTCAGATAAGATTTTCGAAAAGTTTTTGGATAGATCGATAGGCCATCATCTGCCAGAGAGATCTGTCGAATCAGTTTTCAAAAATGTTATTAAGAAAACGGAATTTGCTTCGCGTTTTTATCTAAAATTCACTCGAATCAACTCTATATCAAGTGTGGTAAAATCAACCAAAAAAGGCAAATCGGAAATGACAAAAAATTTCTTTTTCTGGTTAGAACATCTGCTTTTATTTTTTCTGCTTCATCCATATTTATATATAAAAGATGGGATATATAGACTTTTATAACAAACCAAGACTATCATAAGCATTTAAAAGCTGAGAGAAAGTTGCGATTTTTAAGCATCTGTTTCGGATGCTTAAAAGACGTGTTAGATAAAGTTGCTCTAGGCTAACAATTGAAGCACTGCACATAAAGACTTGAAATTCAGTGTTTAGAGGTTACTAACTGTCCTGTTTCCTTTTGTCTCTAGAAAGTTTTCTCCAAAACCTTACGAAATAGGGTTTCCAGAAAACCGTGGTATGTGAGCTACTTGTCCTTGTTAAAATGTGTTGTCAGGAAAACTGGTCGACGATAGACAGTTTTCAATGACATATTCGGATTTAGCGTCGCGAGACAAATATTTTGAAACTGGAAGCACGCCTCTAGTTCAAAATCGCAGCTTTTAAGTTTTATTTTAAACTTTTAATATTCAAATTTTTTTAAAATTGAAATAACTCAGCTCAGGTGAACGATAGACATTCAAACGCCATCTAATAAAGAATTCAAAACTAAACAAACGTATGCGTTTCTCAAATGCATCGTGCATCGTCTAGTAAGAAAGATTTTCTCATAATCCTTACCAAAATGTTTCTCAAAAATTTTAAAATACTATAAAATCTCTGATTTCATCGTTCTACAATCTTTTCGAAGGTCACAGCTAATTTTCTAATTTTTATAAGGTAGTTTCCTACAACTAGGACGAGTTTGCTGTATTTTATAATAAGAAAGCATCGTATGACAAAAATTTGTAGAGCCAAAATTGTTAAGAACAACGAGTTCTCCCTAGCACGACAGACGACAGACGAATGGCTATCATAAAAATAAACTTGATTCTTTTCACCAGGAAACTACCTCATAAAAGTTAGAAAATTCACTGTGACCTTCAAAAAGATTGTAGAACGATGAAATCAGAGATTTTATAGTATTCTAAAATTTTTAAGAAACACTTTGGAAAGAGTTATGAGAAAATCTTCCTTACTAGACAATGCACAATATATTTGCGAAACGCATACGATTTTTAAAAAAGTTGAATATTATAAGTTTAAAATATAACTTAAAAACTGCGATTTTGCTCTAAAGACCTGCTCCTTTTTCTTGAAAACGCATTTTAACAAGGACAAGTGGCTCACAAACCACGGTTTTGTGGAAACCTACGTCTTAAGGTTTTGGAGAAAACTTTCTAGAGACAACAGGAAAGAAGACAGTTAGAAACCTCTAAACACTGAGTTTAAATTGGTTTGAATCAGTAATTTAAAAGGTAGGTTGCTCATCTAACACGCACATTACTATCTGCAGTTTTAAAGTTCTTAGAAAGGTGGATAAAAGCTGATGCGTCTCGTCTCCAGCTTACGATGGCTCTGAAATAAATCTTGCGATCCCTAAAATGGTGGATATAGAAAGGATCTAAATAAAACGTAGAACATCAAAATATACCAAAATTAACAAAACATCGTCGGATTCCGATTGGGAAACAAATAGTTTCCCGATAACAAAAGACTTTCTCAAACATTTGTTGACTAAGTTACGACTTTTTCTATAATACTTAATAGTTTATAATTCTTTCTTGTAGTTATTAACGAAAATAAACAAATTGTAAACTTGTGGTTATCAACAGAAGTAACAACTGTATTGGACAATGCTCTCGTAACGATGGAATATCTATACAAAACTGGCACAGTAAATGTACACTTGAAACGACTAATGAATGAACAATCTTATTTTAAAATTGAATATTCTATTGGGAAAATGCAAACGCAAATATTTAGAACACCTATTGAGGATGATGAGGAAAATGAAGGTAAGGTGGAGGAGCAACCACGAGAACCAGAAAAAATTAAATTCGTCTTGTCAATGGCTGATGTTGATGATCATAAACGCCAGCTAACGTTTTGTAATGTTGATCTACAACAAAACAGGATTCATACAAAGATATTATTGAATGAACAACTGAAATTATTGAAAGTTATCGAAAAAATCTATTTAGTCTCGACAAAACTAGAAATGTCCGGCCATCCAAACTACCAACTTAAAGAAGAAAAATATGAAATGTTTGATAAAACAGGTAAACTGAACCTTGTTCGCTTCTTACAATGTCCTTTGTTTTGTCTATCAAAAGTCATTAATAATAATATATGGCTATAAATATATAAAGGTTTTGAGATCTGTCATATCTTTCGTAATACATTAATATTGTGGTGTAAATACGTAATTTACTGTCTAGGCGCTTTGTGAATAGAAAGATATTGAATCTTATAAAAAACGGAACTGAAAAGATCTCTGAACTTATTTGCATTCAATATATGAACATAAAAAACACTTGCTGATCGTTTGCTATTGAAAATTTAAACTCAAGAAAAAATAAAAGGTGAAATAAAAGGTGTTTGAGGTTCAATCAAACACTAATCTTTGCGTTCGTCTTTTCCCTCATGAGGGAACCACCCCAGGTGCCCAACTCCGATTTCCTTCATTCATCCCTCGTTTTATAGAGCACATCGAGCTGGTAAAAAGTCTAAAAGGATTTTTGCGCATGGCTCTTGAAGTCTCGGTTTTCTGCAAAACCAGTTTTTAAGAAATTCTAAAAAATAATCAAAATCTTTCATAAGGAGGCATAATTATAGCCCGCACATTTCTGATTAAAATGAGACATCTTCCAGCTCTACACGACCTTTTTTTGCAAAGTTATAGAATTTACAAGAAAAGTCCTAAATTAATTTCTTCTTATTTCTACAGCTTTGAGCTGACAATGAACATTTAGGGCTTTTCTTGTAAATTCTGTAACTTTGTAAAGAAAGGGCGTGTAGAGCTGGGAGACGTCTCATTTTAGTCAGAAATGTGCAGGCTATAATTATGCCTCAATATGAAAGGTTTTGATTATTTTTCAGAATTTCTCAAAAACTGGTTTTGCAGAAAACCGAGACTTCAAGAGCCATGCGCAAAAATCCTTTTAGCATTTTTACCAGCTTGAGGTGCTCTATAAAATGAGGTATGAATGAAGGAAATCGGAGTTGGGCACCTGGGGCGGTTCCCTCGTCAGCTGTTCCCAGGTCGAATTCACCCGATCGGATCCTGCCGGATCCTTTTAATTCCGGTGATTTCCGGAGATCGGAATCTGCTCAATTCCTTCGCGTTCCGATATTTTTTTTCTAGAGGATCCGGAGATATCTGGAATCAGGCTGATCCGTTAATTTCCAGTGACCAGAAATCGACGGATTCTGTGATGTACACTTTATTTTTTTTTCTTTTCACTGCGGATAATATATTCGCCGTTTTGTTTCACGACAGGAACACTTTAAATACGACACTGCAGAAAATGAAAAATGAGAAGTTGTTCTTCTCAAATTCTTAACAATGTGAGTCATCGCTCACATTCCGTCATCGCCCGACCTAGCTAGCGGGCCCCTCCACTCTCTCAATTGAACAGAGAGAAGAATCACTAGAAAATGAAAGAAAAAATTGAAGACTATTTTTAACCTTAAAATTGTTCACATTCTGCCAAATCCAGCGAAATCCGATTCATCGGCCGGAAGGTCTCGGAAGATGTCGGATCTTTTCCAACAACTTGCGACACGGATTTCCTGTATGATTGCTGCCGGATTTTACCGAATTCCACTAACTTCCGGCATGTTCCGATGTTAGATCCGGCAGGACCCTGACACCGGAATGGACGGCCTGGGTTAGAGTGAATATACAGCTGCTAGACAAAAAGAAGTGTGTGCGTACACAACTTTGTACACAGTGCGAACTCTCGATCAAGCGATTTCAGCTTAAAATCGGCTTTTTTTAGGGACACTTTAGAAGACCCCCTTCAAAGTTATGAGCGCTAGTACGCGATATAAGACCCGGGTCCTCTATTGTGTCCATCCCTTTACAAAAAATTTAAAAACGGTATCTCTGACCGTTTTTTAATTACTAATTAGTCCTGGTTAGCACCTATCAGTGGCACTTCGGTGAACAAAGAAAATTTTGCTAATGTCAGAAAAAGTGAAAGCCAATCATATCATTCAATAGAAACTTTTCGAGCGCTATCGATTGTCCGGCCACTTTTTTAAATTTTTGCCTGTTTTGTCTGAAAAATCCGTTTTAAATCATTTTTGGTGTTCAACAACTGACCAATTCTCAATTTTCTCAATCAGAACTCAAGTTCTATGGAAGAAAAATATCATATTCTGAATCAAAATCGAAAACTGAGTCGACTGATGTGTATTTCGAAATTTTTAATTAA